AAATTAGGTGTCTATTTACTTGTGACCACTCAGTGTATATATGAAATGATTCAAGTTTGCTGTGATGGTATGAAGCCAAGTGTACAGGAAGAAAGGTAATTTCTGATCAATTGGCCAAGAGTCTTGTTATTTGTTACTAGAAGTTTAAGAAAACTTCCCCAGTATGCTGCTGATTATGTAAAATAAAATATCATTAATAAAGTTTATTTTATAAAGAATTGATAGTGTAGCAAAAAAAAAAAGAAGAATGAAACAGCATTGGTGAGTTAGAAATATATAACAAATATAATTGCGCATTTATTTAAAAAAAAAGAAATTGTCCTCTAGTTGGTCAGTGCTAAGTTTATGGGCTTACAACGCTGAAATTCGGGATTCAATTTCCCACGGTGGATTTGCAAATCCACATAGAATTTAGAAAATGTCAACCAACGACTGACAGCGACAAAATATAAAGAAATAAACTACGTGAAAATTTGAACAGAGAGAATAAAGGAACATTAAAGAGGTGTGGATTATTTATATTTATCAAATATAACCGCTGAATAGAAAGAAAGTTGGCATGTTGCTAAAAAGATACTACGATTAGGAAATAGGAGTGTCAAAAATTAAAGATAATGAAAATGAAAACTTAAAACATTAACGATAATTGTAAGTACAGTGAAGAACAAAAAACCCATCATTTTAATGAAATTTTCTGCTCTGGTCTTACTTCTCTTCTTCTATATTCAATAATTGATGACATATTAATTCTTTAATCACGGGATTCTCTTGTTTGGCGATTAGTACGATTTACGAAGGACTTAACTGGTTGTAGGAGGTTTAATGGGATTCGGTTTAATTTAGTTTTCAGATTTTAAGTGCAAAACAGTTTTAAACAACAAGGATAACTTTTCAAATAAAAGCAATTGATCGATTCTTCAATAAAAAGATTTTGGGTGCATACTTACTACTTTGTATATTAAATAAAATTATACCGATTTTTCTTGGGCCTTGTGTACTAATCACTTGTTGTAGAAAGATTGGGATATTATTTAATATTGCTGAGCCGCATCCATGAAGAGTTCAAATCTCGTTCTATATAATACATAAGTTTCTAAGGAACAACTCCTGAATAGGAGACGCATAGTTTTTTACAGAAATTCAAGAGATTTATCGGAGACAATGTATCTAATAGGCATTAGCTTTTATTACTTACAAAGACAGTTTTCAATATTTCGCCGGTTTTCAGCGTTAAAACCATAAGTTTTTTCAAAAATGGTCTATCTATTAATCTATTAGTGTAGATGTGAACTTTTTGAAAATATTTAATTATTGTTATTATTTAATCAGATACTTTGAGTTTTTCAAGACAAAACCATCTATAAGGTCATCAATTCTAAAGCGTTAGTTTTTACTTGTGTTTTTTTTTTTGCTGGATCTTTAAAAAATAATATTGTCCTTGAGAGAAATTATAGCACAAATCACGCATGGTATGGAACTCTTAGGCTAACGACTATATTTGCTTGTAAATTGGTCGGATAAAATATTACACTTTTTATTACAAACGGGTAACAATGGCAACAACACGGAAAATGGTTGTCAGAAATTTCGGGATTATATTAGATTACTTCTTACTTATGAAGGGTCGTGCACTGTCCAGTGGTCAGCATGCCGGACTGTTGAGCTAAGGTTCCGTGGTTTGGGTCCCGTTATATATATATATATATATATATATATATATATACTACCTATTCGGTCTGACAAGAATAGCTCAAGAGTCGGCGGTGGGTGGAGT